GGCGGATTCATAAACCAAAAATACAGGGATATGTATTGAGTTGTTGGTGGGGATGAGGACCGACACATGCGTCAGACAGACGTAAACTGGACACCCATTTTTTCGTTCACCAGGGGTCATGAAACGTCGAGAAAACATAAAAGTTACCCTCGTGAAAGAAAAACCTCCTTCTTGTGGTAATTAATCAACTAGTCAGAACATAAACGATGCCCACGATGGGTAGTTCTATTAAATTCTGAATTGGTGGGGTGGTTCCAAGACGGTCAACTCTAGTAACACAGTTGCCAGATGTTTGTTAGTAGAGTTCGTACTCCAAACTCCGTTAAAACGAGTCTGTTATCAAAAAAATTGTCCGCGCGTGTATTCCTCGACCATTTTTATCTCGATTGGTTTCCTTATGGCCTCTTCATTGAATTTACGTCATCATAAAAGCACGTGTCTGGGTGATTTACGCAACATTTTAAAGTACCACCCAGATGGTACGTAAAAGAATGTTCGAAAGCAAAAATTGCTTTAAGTACCGCTGGTACTATGTATTTCCATGCCATTTTCGCCATAAATCGTTTATTGATATCAAACTCCGCAGACTGCAGTTCCATCATAATTTGGCCCGGTTTGGCCAGACGTGTTTTCGTCCAGTTATCTTTATGGTCTGAGGCTTCTCATCATCGCAGCGAATTCTTCCTACAGACCTGTTTTTCTGGATCTAGTTCACGTATGACGTGTGCACCAAAACGTCTCAGGAATTTCCTGAGCTTTGAAAGTTCCGATCCTTTTCGGTTTCATCGTCGTCCAAACGACAACTCAATTAGTGCTTTTGGTCCTCGATTTTTCGATGCGGATGCACCGTCGAATCGGTGTTTGTGCAAGTTGTTAAACCCGGATCTCGGACAATTGATACTGCCTTTATAGCTTCGGTGCTAATTGCGTTGCCAAATAGACGTGGCTGGGAAAATCGCAATGTTACACTTACAAAATATTTAAATTTTTGTTAGCAGACTCGTAGGTGCCTGCTGAGTCAACACATGGACATTTGTATGCAAATCTAGGTTCTGAACACATGTAGCAGACTTATTGCTTATCTTTCGAAAAAACGCTCGAGACCAACACGGGTTTTAAAAGCGAAAGAGTGTCGCGTTCGGCCGACCGTCACCTTCTGCCGTTACAGATATCGCGTATTGTTTCTTCTTTCTGGAATGAAGAGTGAAGGACTTTTGGTGGCACGTAGTTGAACTATTAACACAGATTCTACAAATATTTCCCGATAAAAAATCTTTTATCGCCCATTAAGTCCCCGCTTTTTCGAAATATTCAGTCGCACACCTTTTTTCTCCTCACTGGCAAAATTAAAACAGCACAATTGTCTCTTGTTCCACTCCACTTTAGGTTAATTGGTAGCGTGTTTAAGGTTTCAATTTGTTAATTTGTTACATTTATTTATTTATTTTGTTTAAATTTGAATCGCATTAACATAAATTTTGCCGACGAGCGGGATCGGTTTTATGTACCCACCTGGTCGTTAAGTTCATATTTTAATATTTACATCGAGCAAATCTAATTATTGTTATTGATGATGATGCATACTCAAACAACTTTTTTTAGACGCTTGACGGACGCTATATACATTAATATTTGTTTTGTGACTAATTAATAATTCCCGGGTGTCATTCCGTTTTACATTTTTTTCATTCACGCATGTATAAATTATCATTTTAATAATGAACCCGCGGCCACGCTGATACCTCATACCTCAACATTCTTGCTATGCTATCTCAAATTCTGACACAACTTTTCCCACAATCGCCCCAGATTCACTTTATCTTAAATTTTCCACCTATTACCAACTACATTGCAAAGCCAAGACGCGAAAATCCACCTTTCCACCTAAGCTACCTAAGTTCCATTATCCAAACGAACCGGCGATAATGAGATAATTCCTTTGATCCAACCAGTCCATGTTTCTCATAATTGCATTTGATAAAGCATGCCCAGTTGCCGTTATTGACACAGTACACTTAATGAATATAATCAATTATATCCACGATTACATCTCATTGCACTGTGCGTGCAATTTTCATTAATTTCAAACGAGTCTCTGTAAACTGCTTGCTTTACGACTACTTTCAATTAACACGGAAACTTATTATTAGCGTTACCACAAATAAGAAAATGTGACTCGGACGCGTGCCTCTCGCCAGCACGTAAAAATTAATAATAGAGCAATTATCCGTGAATGAGCGTATTCAGTGAGTTCCGTTAACACTAGTGACGATTTAGAGAAAACCACCGATTTTCCGATTTAAAAAATCCGGTGTTTAATGGCGTGGTTTGACTTCCAATGAAGGCGAAACGAGCATTTACATTTTAATAATAATGGTAATGGAGCTGTAAAATGACTATAAACAGCGTGAAAGTTGTTACAGTGTGATACTACTACTCATCAACTGCTACTAGGACCAACAAAACACGAACAAGCTCAAAATGTTTCTTTCTCTTCCACCCTGATTAATAGCTGCTTCCTCCTTAATACCGAACTAATTTTAAAAACCATGTCATAGTTGTGGCATTTTATAATGAGCCTGATACCTCATAATTTCGCAAATAACACACTTCGCTCCGTTAAACCTGAACTATGAATAAATATTTCATTCATAAGTAGTCTCCTCGACGAATATATCTGTTTGGAAAAAGTACTATGGACCACATTCCCCGACCGTCAAACGCACGCAAAGGTCTCGCGACTCTTTCACACTCATCACCTAGGGTCCAAATCGTCTACAAGTACCACCCACGTCTGTAAAATCCAGAGAAGGTACCCCTCGGTACTAACTATCGCATGTCTGCATCACACACCCCTACTGGCAATGGTAAAGATTTGGACCCACACATTGCAACAATGGTACCATCACAACTCTAATTAAAATAACAGTATAGCCGTCATATGTGCGCAACGAAGCATCGGTTAGTTCATGATCGAAGGCCCAGTCCAGCAGTCCGGTGTCAATAACCATGGCCGCAGCCCCGGGGGCCGGCAGCCGATGGAATGACGGTCATGTGGATCGTCTCTACTGTCCCAGAACACACGCAAACTGTACCTACATAATACACGTGTTTCTGTGTAATCCACACCGGATTTTGGCCGGAATCGAGCGAGGAAATTCGGAGGAAACGTGCGTGAGGTCGACTTTCTCGGAACTCGTCCAGACCAAATATTTTAATTGGCGAGGTAATTACGTAACGTGGACCAGCTCGAGATTCATTCAACCACTAAAAGGTAGTACGTGGCGTAAGGGAGAAGCGCAAGCCAGCCGTCCGATTCGGTGGTACTATTAAAATTCCGTCGTCGCAGGTTTGCTTGCAGCAGTACCTTGTAGACTTCAAAGCGTCCGTCCGGTAGACGTAGTCGCTTCGCATGTCTGCAGCGTTGAATATGTTGATTGCGCGTCTGCATTATAATGAGAACAGTTGGGTCAGGTGCTCAACAATTAATTGCTATGACAGTCGTACGTCAAAAACATAAGCAAATGTGTCACTGAGGCCTGCGTAATTGTTGTCGGAATGTCTTATCCGAATGTTAATTAAATTAACCGTGAGGGCTTATTAATTATTCCCGTGTTGTTGCATACGGTGGAAAATAAAAGCACAAGTAGCGAGCTGAAATGTGGATGTTAATGAGTTACATCGTGCATCTACGTCAATTAAGTACACTACAAAACCGGATTGAAAGCTCACGATATTTTATAGCCGTAATTACATCTCATTCATTTCATCGGAAAATACATTCATTATGCGTAAACTTATTGTTTGACTAAGTGAATAATTATACTGTTTATGTTATCTATCCGGTTCGATTTATGGGAGAAATGGGCGATTTTCTATGGCTAATTGAACGATCTCTTTAAAGACCACACAGAACACGATTGCGGTTTACACACTACACATTTGACAACATCCGTGTTCTCACACGCTTTTCACATTTTTAATGTGTTTACAAAGCTGCTGTTTGCACAACCAACTTCCCATCCTAAAACCACAAAACGTTAAAGCAAACGTGCGAAAACTAATTGCCTGTTTAAATTACCGTAAAACATTCGTCTGACATCATGCATCCACGCATCTCGGTACTAGCATCTAAAACCCAAGCATGTAGTACCTTGCGGACCATTAGCCCCGACCCAACACAATTCCCTCTAAACCAATAAATCTGCATTCACATCGTCTACGCACATCCGCTCCGCCAAGCATCCAGCTCCGACCACTCCGAGAGTCAGTTTTTGTTTACCTAATTCCACGATTCGTGCTACTAAACATGTCCGACTTAAACAGCAATAACAATAAAACAACATACAGTAATTCACCGCAACGAGATTAACCGTAACTAAACGTGATGGCTCGAGAAGACGTTTCTACCATAACTGTCAAAAACGAGCTGCTGACGTCAAGGATGCACTTCTGCCACCCGTGCGCGAAAAATACGACCGACCGAATGCAGCACGTGCTCGCAGATCACGCTATGTAAAGGACGTCGCGGTTTAGTGACACGATTTATGTCAAACCAGCTGATTTCGAGGCGGCCGAATTGACAAAAGTTGAAACGCGACCGAAACTGGACGCAAACCGGTCCGACGCTCTTCCGCGAGCGGAGTATACGCAGGGGACGGCTCGGGACCCCGGGTTTCTCTCTGTGGGATAGGAGACCCGAGATGAGGCATTTTGGGACCCTCGGGGTTTCGGGTTTGGAGGTGTCCGGGGCGTTTCTGGGGGGAAATATGCTACTGAGGACGGGTTTTAGCGTTACAAAACGCTGCCACAAGCTATTTGTCTCGCGACTGGCCGAGCGAGATCGTCGATGAGTTCGTTTTGTCGCTGTCGTTGAAATAGCTAATTGATGAGTGGTTGACACGAATATCCGGAATCCGGGAGCTAATTACGGAGTGGTGGAGTGCAATTCGACGCTTGTTAATTGGCTGGATTTTTCTGACGTTTTGTTTTTGTTGCAGGGCCACGGAAAGATGCTGAGCCCACTACGCCACTTTAGGCGACTTCTACTTCGGCCTGTGATCTGCTGTTTTTCTTTTATTTTATTGGTAAGTGAGCGTCGGGGGCCGGCGAAGTTATTCCAAACGGAATTTAAAAGTCACTCCGACACTTGTTACATCAGGTCAAGGTTTACAACAACGCATAGCTGTTACAGCGAGTTGGGCGCACGGATTTGAGAAGAAGAACGTGTGGTTTGATCGGAAAGTGTATCAGTTTTGGTGGATTACGGAGAACGGGAAGTAATAAAGCGGTTTCCTTCACTTTATGATTGCGATATTATACGTATTATTATTTTTTATCGGGATGGAACTAATTAGCGGCTAAAATATGGAAATGTTATACAATCACAGGTAAATAGTAAACTTACAAGTCATTCTTGTTTGATTATATTAAAGACCACTTTTTGTGTCGGCTCGGTTCAATTATTTCTTAAATATTTAATGACTTTTTTAATTAAGATATTCAAGTGTGCCAAGCTCATTAACACAAAAGCTCGCCTTTTCCGATCGTACCATAGGTACCACAACGTCATCGAATCGTTTAGTTCGGTTGGGTTTGCTCGCATTGACGTGCCACCATATAATTAATGCTCTCCTCATTACTTAACAACGCCACGCCGTCTGATCATGAACCCATGTCTCAAAGCTCACGTTGCGAGTACCGTTGTTTTGCTCTATTTCGTTCCCATGTTTACGTTTTGCATAGCCTCCAATAAACGAGGGAAAACGACGCTTTTTCTCACCACTTTGTCATATTGACAATGGCGCGTTCGAAACCGGTCATTAACCAGACGGAATTCTACGAAAGGAGATCTGTAACTTCTTCTATCTAAGATTATATGGTGATTATCTGGTTTACACCATTTTGCTTGTCTGCAATTTAGTAATCTTTGATAATTATATGGTGTTGTACGAAAGGCATTTTAATACGATGTAAATGGGCAGCAACACCGAAAAATTATTGTCTTTGAGAGACGTTCACGACGATATTAACCATAACCGAAGACGAACACGCTTCCGATGACATTAACCCAACCCCACATCCTCTCCTCAGACAGAAATCAATCTTCCTGCTTAACATTAATTACCCACATTCTTCATTTCGACTTTTTCATAAAGCCTCAAACCTGTCCTGCGTGGTGGCGCCGCTTAGGCACTATTCCACATTTCTTCTTACCACACGACTGTCGTTTTTTTCTCTTCTGTGAAATCTCATTTTCAGCTCGCCACTTTTTTCCCCTCTTTGTTTCACCGAAATGACGTCATTGTTTTCTTCCACTTAATTTATTCCTCTGCACCGTTCGTTTACAGAACAACGCACCGTTGCAGTTTTTTTTGGCGCAATTGTAAAAGAGTCACACCATATTGGAGGCTTGGTAACTATTTGCAAATAATGCACAACTGACGCGGAAGCTCTTAATCAGCAATCAAGTACGTGCGATCGCTGCCGAGTGACAAAGATACTTAATGGGCAGTTAGGTGGAACTGCCGTTACCGATGGTATTTTGGTACCCGAATCACTGCAATATCGTGAGGGTACCACCTCGGTACTTAATTTGGACTACATGTTGCCGCGAGTACCTGTTCAGAAGAGAAGGCCCGCATACCTAGTCGAAAACAATGCGATGTGGGTCTTGTAAATTCCGGCACAATCTCTTCTAGTTGTCAATAATCCTCCGGAAAGAGGTACCTAGGCGTACCGAGCGGTGATTGCGCACAATTTGAATATCACCGATGAATATCAATGTTAAACGTACTGTTACGATCTCGCATAATGTATTTTAAATAAGTCCGGTAAGTTACATGAACAAAAACAATTTGCTCGTGTCCGCGTTCCCAGTGGGAGATTTCGAGATACAGCGGCAATTTCTGTTTTCGTTCTTATCTTGTTGTTGTCGACGAATCGGCCGCCATTAACAAGCCTCCGACACGTCCTTATTGATGTTTCGAACAAATACAAAACGGACTCGACGGTATCCCATTGGGGCGGCCTCACCTTTATAGACATGGAAATAATTTATTGGTGTGCCAACAATCCGCGAAGACGCCGCTGGCATTCTGACAAGTTGTAAATTACAACTTGTTCCCAAAATGTTTACCGGGAAAAAAGTGAAGTGGATGGCAGATCTAATCGTCGGTTAATTAAATCGGTTTGAGAGCTTTGGGAGCGGAGCGAGCATCTATCATTTGGTGTAACAAGGAAATGGTTCTGTGATCGTATGACCCGAAGGGCTTGCAGTTGTCGCCTACTCATTATGCCGTCATGCGACTGCGAGGCCTCGACATCTTGACCTCCGTAACGCCTTCCTTGGGGTGTTTCATGCTCTTCGCATAACTCTGCAAACACTAAGCGGAATGTCAATAATCTAATAAAACATGTCGAAATGGTTTCTTGTTTGATCTTCATCGATGCGAGCTTCACAACAGGCTTTTTTGATGAACAACTACTTGTACACGTCTTGCCACTTACTCGCAGGAGCCAGAGACCGTCCGATTCCTGTTTCAGTCCTAGTTCCCTCGTTCCGCGTTTTCCCAGCCCGCCGGTACTTAACATTCTGTAAAAAGTAAAAAAAATCGAATAATTGTGTGCGTGCTTACGCTGAAGCAATAATCGTGGTTTACCGTTTTAATGGGCCGGTTAGACATCAGAATAACATTATTAAACGTATTCTGTGTCATTCGGCGCATTTTTTGCAATTCTTCCGTGAAGACAAACAATTTTGGCCAAGGTTACGGATGCCGTTGAAGAGGTCGTAATGTTTGCATTGTGACAAGCTTGAAATTTCCGCGTCCGCATAAAGACCATTTATTGAAGAAGACCCGGCACTGACCAGATGACGGGGGTCAACGGTCAGCCAAGGAGCCCCGTTAAAAATCGGATTTAGTGACCGAGGTTGCGGACAGTTAACGAAACAATCGTTCGTTATTTTCGCATTGTCAACGGCAAAGTTTGGCGGAGAACTAATGACCATCTAGAACTCAACAGAGTGGCACTAATAACATCGCTTATGAATCGACTTAAAGGCCAGCGACTCTGACAGTTATAAACAGCTGTTGTGCGAAGTTATTGTAAGTGTACTCTCTCGCAATCAACTCTTTATGGTGGATGATTTTATTAATTAGTTAAATTGTATTAAACAGAGGTGATTTACTCGCCTCGATCGGTTTTACTGTTAGTTAGATTGAAACCAGATCTTGACCTGTCTTGGTTATTCTTGAAAGTGGAGAGATGATAACTGGCTCTTGCTACTGTTGCGAGGCGTCTGATTGCATTCTACCAATTGCAGAAATGTACAGGCAATTATTATTACACATTTTTCACATTCCCACGAGAGTTTCCCATAACTTCTCGATAAAGACCTTTATTCTAATTTGTTGAATAAGCCGCATACCGTTAGGTGCGTAGGAACTCTTGGACATGTTAAAGGTCGCCAATTAATGCTCTCGGTTCACATCATGACTTATAACCATTCTTACACGTCGACCGAAGCCCGTAATCTCCAACCCGTTTCTCCTATTTGACCAACATCGCTCGTAACACATCCACGAAATTCCGTCAGCCGGGACACGTGTGGGACCCTCGGGGAACAACATTTTGGCATTAAAAGTGAAGTCCTTTCAACCTCGAACACCTGTGCAGACGATCTCGCCTCGTCAAATATTTGACCATCGCAAGGTTACTAATGTTTATCCTGTCATTAGTGTCCCGAAAGCAGCCACTTCGTAACTCGGTACACAAAGGAGCTACTGAAGAGTTGAACGAAATTGTGTCAAAACGCATCGTAGAAAGCGTACATTTGGAGATGCCGGCATTAGTAATGCTAATAGCGCGGTGTGCCCAGGCGCGGTAGCCGGCGGGTTCTTGACCCGTTTCGCAGCTTTGTCGATATGCGCGCCCATCAGACTCATTCCCACACATTACAACACGTAGATCCACAACTGGACATTTGTCTATCTGTTGTAGCCTCTCCGGCTGCCCATAAATTACGTTCGCACGGCCATATATCCATTTTTTCCGTTTCGTCAAGCGTCCATTCAAAGAAAGCTTATCGTCAATGATCGGTAATTATATGGTGCGGCAAACGCAGGTGTTGCTCGAAAATTCCGATCAAACCGCACGGTTTCATTGTTACCGTAGTTCCGAAAGCTCGAACCACTGACAAGAGGCTCGTTCTCCCAGTTCCAGTCCTCAATGCACTATGCTGTCCAATCAAAGCTCAAAGAGAAATTGCTTAGCCCAGCCTCATGCTTTTTCTGTTCCAGTTAATTAATGTCGTGGACGGAGCCGGCGACATTTGGCCCTTGGACCGCCCCGACGGCATGCCCTCCATCCAGTCCCTCGAGGTCATGTGCGGGAAGGACCACATGGACGTCCACCTCACGTTCTCCCAGCCCTTCGAAGGCATCGTCTCGTCCAAAGGGCAACACGGAGACCCCCGATGCGTCTACGTGCCACCGTCGACCGGGCAGACTTTCTTCTCTTTTCGCATCGCGTACGCCAGATGCGGAACGAAACCAGATTTACACGGACAGTTTTACGAAAACACCGTAGTAGTGCAATACGATAAAGACTTACTGGAAGTGTGGGACGAAGCGAAAAGGTTACGTTGTGAATGGTTCAACGATTACGAGAAGACAGCGTCCAAGCCGCCTATGGTTATCGCCGATCTCGACGTGGTGCAGCTGGATTTCAGAGGTGAGTATGGGAAGACTCGTGGGCTTGACTTACCGGGTTTGTGCAGGTGACAACGTGGATTGCTGGATGGAAATTCAACACGGGAAAGGACCCTGGGCGCCGCCGGTCAGCGGAATTGTGCCGCTGGGGTCTACGCTGACTTTGGTCGTCGCGATCAACGACTACAGAGGTAAGACTAACCAGAAAACCAGGTTCCTCCCGGAATCTTCCAGATTCCCGATGTTGTTGATGACCCTTTTAGGTTTATTTAGATTCCCTTTTGTCTGAAATCCAACAATCAGCAATTCCCGACCCTATGCTTTCTCTAATTTCGACCTTGTCTGAACCTCAAAAATTGATGACCCGGTTCTTTCCGGATTTGCGATCTTCTGGTTGAGTTCTGGCTTTGTCTTTAGGTCCCTCTCAGATCCTCTTGTTCTGAAATGCAGTATTCAGTAATTGGCGACTCTATGCTTTCTATAATTTAGATCCTGCCGGAACCGTAAAAATTGATGACCCGGTTCTTTACGGATTCGCGATCTTATGACTGAGTTCTGGCTTTGTCTTTAGGTTCCTTTTAAGTCCCTATGTTCTGACGTTCAGTAATCAGTAACTATCGACCCTATGCTTTCTGTAATTTAGACCTGGGTACTTTATTTTACGGTTGTTTTGTTTCAGGCGAGTTCGACATGCGCGTCAAGTCCTGCGTGGCGTCAGACGGCGGCGGCCACGTTATCCAGCTGTCCGACGAGTTCGGCTGCGTCCTCCGCCCTAAAATGATCAGCCGTTTCCTGAAGGCCCGAGGCGCCGACGAGCGGGCTTCCGTCATCACCTATGCCTTCTTCCATGCGTTCAAGTTTCCGGACGCTTTGAGTGTTCACATTAAATGCAAGGTGGAGATTTGCAGACACGGTTGCTTGGACCACTGCCAGATCCAGCCCGACAAGGGCGACGTGGATTCCGAGGCCTATTTGGGTCCGCTCGAACGGGGCGACGACAGGGTTCCGGATCCGCCCGTGCAGGACCGGCTGTACGAAGACATTATCGGCGAAGAAGGCGCCGACGGCGTCTCAGCGGTGAAGATGTCGCTGAACGCGCAACCGGTGTCGAACAAGCCGGACGGACTTCTTGACGATTATAAAGAACTGGATATAACGGCAGTGCCGCATAAGGTATGATGTTAATTATTGCAAACTTCATTTATTATATTGTAAGTGTTTTAATAGGCCGTTTATTGTTTCTCAGCTATGAACAAAACAGTTTGATTCCAAGTATTTGCGATCGCATTACAATTTGCAGTTAAATGTGTTCGTTTGTTCTTCACCGATGAGAAACGACGGATTCCTATTTCGCGCCTTGCCATAATCGGGGATTAACCTCTATGCGGTTCTCAACGCGACGGTAAACTTCAACGATGATTCTTTCATTAAGCGGTGGCTGTAAGCCTGATTTACAGACTATGACAACTAAATGCACGGTAATTGTTGCTTTGTGGCTCGTACTTGCTGAATTCCCACGTGATACGCGATCTCGACGAAAAAAAGCTAAATACGCTATATTATGGTAATCTGACGTGATTGCATCTCGTTATTAATTATTACAAACGCATTCTTAAGAGTTTATGGTTTAATAACTGCATATCTAGGAGGAATAAAGCATGAAGCGTCGGAAAAATGCAGAAAATTTTAGAGTGTTACCTCGGTTTTGTTCTTTAAGACCATATCGTCCTGAACCCTGAGGAACATGTCGGAATTTGTTTCTCACACATTGGTTGTACCGTTTGGGTAAATGTTAGTGGACAAAGATTTATTGGCCCACGAGAGCGGCGACAAGGCCGTTCCTTAATCGGTCTTTAAAGCGTTAAATTTTTCGTTGACGTTTACAACAATTATCATCACGGCGCCTCCTAAATCATCCGAGAATAAAAACGAGCTTTCAGGTTCAGCGGTCACATAAATATTTAGTAACCTAATTGTTAATACACTTGATTCAAAATTAACGTCGACATTTATTTATTAGTTATAGGGACTTTGGACGTCGGTAATGGCCTTAAACGTTTTTAAATGTAAATTCAACAAATTCCAAACTAAACTGCACAAGTTGTTTATCGTATTTTAATCTTGGGATTAATTCAAATCCGGATTCATCATTTCCATACAAAGCTTATCGGTGCGAGAAATTCCTTACCCAAATACCTCCATTCACTATCAATTAGAGTCATGTTTTCGGCCAAATTCTGCCTCAGATAAACACCTTTCGAACGTGCTAATTCCGACGCTTCGAAAAATTTCCGGTAGCATAACCCTTGAAAATGGTACCTCACCTATAACCTCAACACGCTCCTTGTTTTCAGGACCTCTTCCTGGTGCACGAGCCCTTCCCCCACGGCCCGCGGACCTTCGAGCACGCGCCCGTGGCCGCCCCCCGCGCCTTCGACTCCACCACCACGCCGCCGCCGCTCGACCGGCAGAAACGCCGCCGCCGGTCTATCACCGTGTCCGACCGGAAGGCGCGCAGCGCCGACGTGGGTGTCAGCGGGCTGTACGAGGTCATCTCCGAGGCGGACTTGGCCTTCAGCCCCGACAATCGCGCCGAGGCGGTGACCGTGTTCCAGGGGCGCATCCGCGAGGAGGTGGTGTACGGCATCTGCATGCCCGTGCCGGGCTTCAGCGTCCTGTTCGTGCTGGTGGCGGTGTCCGCCGTGGTGTCGGCCCTGGTGGCCGGCTCGCTGCTCTACCGGTACCAGCTGCAGAAGGAGCAGCTGGAGCAGGCCCGCAACGGGCCCATACCCATGGGGCTCTTCTCGGTGGGGTGGCGGCTGCTGCGGAAGACGGCGCCGAACGTGCAGATCAACGGCACGGAGAAGAGAGCCAGGAGCCAGGTCAATGGTAAGACTGACGAGACGACACGGGGGTGAACAAGGACGCTGTGAAGTGACGTGGACGACGAGCAATCATATTGTTTGTTTAGATGATAGAGGGCAAATGCAATATGATGTGTATAAAACGGTAGTTAGGTTTAGGTAAGGGCTGACTGTTTCAGATGTAAGGATGTGCGGGAACGTGACATAACCTTAGAAGATGGTACTTACTTACGCTTACTTGAATCTAGAGTTAGTTATTGTCTTACTGACAAGTCGTACTGTTTTTACCAGTGTGCAACCATTCGAGAGGACACTCATTTTTGCTGACTTCGACACCTCTTACACGAATTGCGAAGTTAGGCAACCACGAAAATTATGCCCGGCGATATATTTAAAGTGCGCTAACTAGAGTATCTTAAGTTTATGCAAGTTTTTCGGCGTAGGTGTCGTTTCTTAATTTTTTTTTTTTTAGTACGATGAGTACTGTTAAATTCACTTTTCGTGTGTTTGTATATACAAAATTGTTTCTTTGTGCTTAAGGATTTTGTCATTGTAGATTTAAATTATCGTTGTTTTGCTTGTTAGTTATTCAAAGTTCAAGACTACAGCGTCTCTAAACTAATAAATTAATTTATTTTTAGTTCTGTACGAGTAAAATTAAAGTCAGATATATATATTTAAGTAGGTAATAAATAAACTTATTTGTACAGTATTAACCTGCTGAGTATTTTAATTGTAAACTATTGTCAAGATAATGTGTATTTAGAGTTAAATCTAGAAACTCCTAAGTAGTCTATTGTACATAATAAATGATAGAACCAGAATTACTGCCAGGTCGGTATTGTTTTTATTATTCTCTGCTATATTAATTGTGGTGTTTTATGAAATCAGTAATTCTGCGTAATTACTTTAGACTTTAGTTAAATTATTGCTCATTTAATATTTAGAATCCCCTCGAGTCCTTCGTTCGAGAGATATTTATTTTGTTTTGTTTCTGACTATTTATTTTGAGTAGTAACTGTATTTTCATTAACCTGACGTTTGCTCATTTTGCATTGTTTCTAATAAAGCGTTATTGTTACTTTAAGATATTTAAGAGGCTATGTTCTGTAAATAATGGGATAATAAATACTTAAAAAAAAATAGTCGTTTTTATTTTTAATAAATAATATCATACAGCGTCTTTTGCGATACAATGAACCAATGAAGATTTGAGTACGCACAATAGAATTATACAGGTACATACTGTAATGGATGTCTTTTCAAAAGAAAATAAATAAATAAATAACTTAAAGAAATAAATAACTAGAATAAGCTAAACCTAAATTTGTTAAGTCTAGAACCAAAACCGACCACGACCGTTCCGCAGAAAGTCAAACTATTGTATTTACAAACTCGAGATATCTATACAGTCGCCGCAAAATACAAGATTTTGTAAATTCCAACAAATCCAACTTGAAAAATTTGGAGGTAACCTTAAAACTAGCGCGTCTTCGTCGGATACAATGCCTGATCACGTTTGAAACAAAAACAAAACAAAGCTAAGTCGCAAAGCTTCATTAATCCAGTACCGTTCGCCTCATCGATTAACGAAGCTTCGCACATCCAATGACCATGCATGTAGCCCCTAAACTAATTGAGCCTTCGAGTTACGAATAAAAACAGCTTCTAGACGTCGTCTGTTTACTTTTGTCGGAAGTCGCGTGTCCCACTTTGTTGCCAGCTAAAGGCCGCAGTCGGACGCACAGAAACGCCGACATCAAACAGGAAATAATCAAAATGCCCAGCAGAACCACAAGAGTGGCCGCGAAGCCGGGCGTCGTCATACAAATCAAGCCCGGACTGGCCAGTTCTTCCTTGGCCGGGAACACCATGGTCGTGGTATTGGCGTTATCGTCGAGCGAGAAGGTCAAATCCCCGGTCGAGACCACCCTGATGACTCTGTTCAATCCGACTTCCTTTTCTGGGTCGCTCTTGACCGACCTCCGGACGCGCCGCTCGTCCCTGGGTCGCCCACCGTGCAAGTAAGCTTCAATGGGGAGAGGCGGCGGCGGCGGCGGTCCGTAAGCCGCCTCGGGGGCGCTATGCGCCAACTCGAGTATCCCGTTCAAGCCCAAATGGTCGGACTCGGCGCACTGATCCGGACACTGGTAGCGACAAATCTGGATGGTACACTGGAAATGAACCTCCATGCTATCCGGGAACTTGAAAGCTTGGAAGTGGGCGTAGGACAACACGGACGCGCTCGCCCCGAAATTCTTGATTTTGGTGAAGCGGGACATGAGTTTGGGCCGCGTGACGCAACCTTTCTGGTCGACGAGTTGGATAGGGGCGCGTTTACCATCATGGGCCATGCAATTACGGACCAACATGTCGAATTTGCTATCGTCGTCTTTGATGGCGAGGACCATGGTCATGGTCTGCCCGATTTTGACGAGACCCGAGACTTCACTAGCCCACGGTCCTTTACCCACTTGGATTTGCATCCAGCAGCCGACGTTGTCTCCGGCGAAGTCAGTCCGCACCACGTCTAGCATATCAACGGGGAAAGGCCTGAAGGTCACCGATTTTTCGTACTGGTCGTGCCACGTACACCGAAGTTTCCTAGCTTGGTCCCACACTTCTTGTACCTGAGGGTCGTACTGGATGACGATGATGTTTTCAAAGTAGGTACCTGAGCCTGACTCGGCGCCGTATCCGTAGAGCCCGTTTTCGGTATTCCCTGAGGTACCGCAAGCGTGGATGCCGATTTCGAAGTGCGCGGAGGTGCGCCCTAGGCCTGCCGGAAGATGCACGCAGTGCACGTTACTGTAGTGACCCTTACTGAAGACGATCCCGTAGAAGGGTTTGTCGAAGCCTAGGTACACTTTCATCAGGTTTTTCTCGCACTTGACGTCCAAGGAGATGATTTTGGGCATGTCTGGTACCGGCGCCGGCCAGATGTCGCCCGCTGTTCCGTACTTGTCCATCGCTTGTTTGGGTGGGGGCGGCGGTGGGCCGCTGTACGAGTTCTTGTTCTCGGCGTAAATGGGCGGCTTGTTCTTCTGGAAGGGTTTGTGGGGGTAGTGCTGGTTGTTCCGCGGTGGGAGATTGATGGGCGGTCTTGGAGGTACATTGTAGGCGAGTTTTTTCGGCGGCTGTTCTTGGTCCCCTAGCGACTCTAGAGCTAACTGGTCCGGATTCGTGTCGTTGTCTTCGTTGCTGTGCTCTTTGGTTTCTTCGGAGCCGGGGACGGCCTCGACGACTTCGACTTCTTCACCGAGGACGGCCAGCTGGAAAAACAGACGCGATTAGTGGATGTAGGTGAAAAGCGGAGATGAGGGAATATGGTTGTGTGACCCTGTGGAGTAACGGATCCGCAAGGACAGGTCAGTCGGCCAGCGTTTATTGCGCGTCCACTTCACGCACTCGCCGCACCTAGGGCGACCATTCCCAATACATTCCATCAAAAAACGACGAGGATTCTAGATACTCCGATTGTGGTGAATTATAACGGAGGCGCTTTTTGCCCGACGCCACAATGCACGAGTGTCCAAAATTAACATTTGGGTTAGGATCGTAGCGATCGGACTCGGCTGACCCACTAGATCTAATTTCTTTTTTCAAGTCTTTACAGCTTGTCTTCTCTTGAGCTACGACATTAATAATGCGATAGGCTGACCCTAAAAATCTTCAATTTAAATGCCGACAGGATTTAGTAGCCGCAGGTATTAAGGTTAATAACCAGCCGTTCAAAATCTGGAAACATGTACGCGAAGAAAACCGACGACGCTTTCGCTTTCTCGAAGCGATTACACTCGTTTTTTGCCAAATTTCGATAACAGTACCGCGAAATTGGTTAAACCCATTTAATGCCGGCAAACCCAAATTAGGCTAGCATTTATCCGATAAACACGACCGATTTTTTTTAATAATTGCAAATTGCCTCACATGCGAATTTGGGTTTTAACGGTTGTGGCGAATTTACATTCGATTTTGTGCCTCTAATTCGGGACAAAAAGTGAACGATCGGGGTCAAAAATTTCGGCAAAAGCAGCAAAATGCACCTTTGACTCGGCCGAGCCGGAACGGACTTGGACTTCCACCGCTTGTGCGGCTAACTGTACCCGAAATTTTAATTAATCTAGTGGGTCAGAATAATGGGAATCGTTGCGAAATCTGGTCAAGATTAATCGCTGCAGGAACCCATCGCCCATAAACAATAGCCGATCGGATAATCATCTAAGTGGGCTGGAACTATCATATATTTAACGATCCTGATGGTCGTTACGAATAAAAATTAACAATTTTTTATTCTATTTTATTAAATGATGATTACAAGACTTGAAACTATTCTAAGTTCGAATATAATAAAATAACGTTAGACTTTTCTAAGTCCGGACAAAATATAAAAGTAAAATATTTTATGATAAGACGGGAACGGCGTTACGGTATGATTTGAGACTTTTGACTGCAGATCACGACTCGAATGTTGAATACTTGAGTGTCGAATACTTGAATGAATCTTCTGTTCGTTCTTCTCCCTTATATACTGAGGTTTGACCTCCTTTGGCGAAGATAAGCTGCACATGGGCTGATGTAAGAGCTTGCATCAGAATTACAGGTCAACCAAGGGTCGAGGGTTGATAAGGAGTACGAAACAAAGAAAGTTCGTTGCTCTAAGACGAATGTGCGTTGCATCTAGAAGTAGGCCAGTGATAACGAGTGCGTTAGCCTCAGGGTTAGAGGTCACTTCGGCAGGGTTGATAACATAAGCGAAGAAAGTTCATTGATCTAAGACGAAATGCGGTGCATCGGGAACCAAGTCGAATAAAATGTTAATAATGGAGTCTTCGGACGTAACACCTCCCTCCGTAAGTCTCTTCACTCCGAGAAGAGTATCATAGTTTTCTTTTAGTTGAAATCGATGCCAGTGGGATGTCGCTGTGATGGACAATTTCTTCGGAGTGGTCATCGGTTTCGATATGAATTGACGATCTTCATGACACATTGGAGTAGATGAAGATTTGAGGACAGCAGGAACCTGGTTGTGGTGGACTGAAACCCGTGAAGTATCCAGTGGGATCTTTAAGTAGTCCAAATTTAAAACATGTTATATAAAGGAGATATAATCACAATAGTGATCACATCGAAGGTCCTCAAATGTCGAATAAAACTGGATGACATCTTTCATTTGCTTGTAGCTTGGTCAAAACTTTGACTTCATAAGATGGACTCTCATATAGGGATGGTATCATCTCGAAATATAGTAGGGTGTCTTCTCCAAGTTCTTTACATCGTTCTATACTGTTTATTTTCAAGTAGTGCCTATTATTCTCAGCTAATGCAACATATCTTGATTCCGAAATGATTGCATGAAAAATTATCTTTAAATGGAATCGAGTATAAAATAATGGTAAACAGTATATTTTTCCTTTTGAACTAATGTAATCCTCAAAACAAAATTAAATCTTTTGTTTGTTTGCTAAAAGCTTCTAAATGTATTAAATCAAAAACGTTTGATAGATGTGAATATTCGCATCCAAAGTTGTAAATGTTGAGAAATTAAATTCAACTGATTCCAAAGAATTTCAGCTTTGATAATTGAAGGATGCAATATCTTTAGTTTATCAGAAGTAATACTTTCTAAAATGTCACATAATTCTGACTCAATTAACATAAGTGATTCAAGCAACTGTTCGTAAGTATGTACTTGAATATTGAAATGATGAGTAATGTCTACGATCTTATTGATTTCCTTTTGGACATTTTTTTTTTTTGTTTTAAAGGTTCGTTCATCAATTCGCAACTTTTAGACAGTAGTTAAATTTACTAATACTCGAAGTGGCTGCTTGTATTTGATTTCTTAAATACAAGGTTTCGCGATCGACCCTTTCTTATTTGTTTATCAATTAATCAATATATCCTCAAATTACAGGATCAAGATTCCGTTTAATTGTTTTCCAAATTGCATCTAAACCGTGTAAAATTGATAAAATATTTTCGTTTTCTTAAAACGCTAAAACAAGCAAGTTTAAATTAATTTTGAATTATCGTTCATTATTCTGAACATTTGTTGGTGTAATGAAAGAAAACCAGTGGTGATTTTTGCAATAGCAAAAATTATTATCAATAATTCCTAATAAATCTGTAGGACTAATATCCAAAGTATCGATAGTTACTTTCAAATTATCCACTCGGTTCAAAGTTTCAGGCTTTATCATAAACATAAAATTTCTCTTAAATCTTGTAAAAATAACTGATGATAATGTCCTGTTGCAAACATGATTTACTTAAAAATAATTAAATAACTAATAACGATTTATTTTAATCAGCTCTTTAGTATAATTTTTTTTTCCATCAGTAGTTTCAGTTTAAGATTTTTCTAATTCTCAATGTAAATAAAATTATTTCACTTGTTTTACAAACTCAATATTATGAAAATTATTCCTTAAAATATTTAAAACTACTTACAAGTTCAAATACAATAAATTTGAAATGAAATAAAATAAATAAAATTTTTTTAATGATGCATTGCAATTCCATCAAGCAATATTCTTTTTGTACACATTATCCCTTTGTGTTTTTGTTTCTTTTCTATACTTACTAACTCTGGGAAATAAAGATTTTTTTATTTTTTTTGTAAGTTACTTCAAAGTAAAAGGAACTAAACTTATTTTAGTTAAGTAGATTTACAAAATGCCAAGTTTAACTTTACATGATACATAGTAATATTTTCCTTCCCAAAGATCGTTAACATTTTCTTTTTCTGAATCTTCTAAGAAATATTTCAATTTTTCAAAAATAATTGTAAATCAATAACAGTAAAAGTAAATACTAGAATTTAAATAGAGCTTTCGACAGTTTTCTTAATTTTCATGATTTAAAATTTTGAAATGGTAACTGTAGCTTTAATGATTTATTATAGTGCTATAAAAAAGATCTTTTGTGTATACGTTATTTGTTTACTTTTTTTTTATGCTTAATACACCAAGAAATATTTGATTTTTTTTTTTGTTAATCGTAAATTACCTGAAAGTAAAAGGAAGTAAATTTGTTCTCTTAACTTCACTTCTTAGAGTTATGAAATAACGAGTTTAATTTCAATGTGATTAATTATATTGTCATCAAACAATACTTTCTTTACCCAAAGCTTTTCTTTTTATTTTAATACTTCAATAATTATTTTAGTTTTTCAAATAAGTATAATTGTAAATTATTAATCGTGAAAGTAAATACTAAAATTTAAATACAGTTATAATTTTATTAATTACAAAAATGTTTACCAAAAAGAAAATAATGATAGATAAATAATTAACGTTGTTTAAACCTTTTGTGTGTATTTATTTTTTCTATTTTTTTTTATGTTTTATAATATTTAATTAATATAAGCTAGTACTTTCACTTAGGAATTTATTTTCCTTTTGAGAACTGAAACGTCTATTATACGTTGAATAAAAATTAGAACAAAATCTATCTTTGTTTAAATAAGAGCTTTTGTTATAAATCTGTTGATCTTTTCTTACATTGTTGCTCGAAAATAAGTTTCTATTTAGAAACGATTGTTTAGATCTAAAATTTGTTCCATAAGACCTGTTGTCTATTTCAGTTGCATAATTTGGGTAAAAATCTTTCGTAAAATTAAAATTATTCTTTTTATTCCTGTAATTATTACTTTCCGTTGATCTCAAATAAGTAAGTTTATTAAACGATTGGTTTTTAGTCTGAGAGCGATTGAGATTTATAAACTTATTTTGATCATTATTACTCTGCTTTCGTGTAATGTAATGTACATTTATAGGTGAAACAGAATTAAAGCTATTATTAGCATTATAATAGAAGTTACGATTTTTATTCATATAAGCTTTTTTGGATTTAAAATCATTATAAGGATTTCCTGTTAAATTCTTAAAATTATTCTTTCTGTGGAAATAGTTATTATATTTTTGTGGTTTAAAATCGTTATAAGTTTTATTTCTATAATTATAACACGTAGTAGGTTCCACAACTTGAGATAGATTTGGAAAACGTTTGTTTTCTCTATAGATTCGGTTTGATCTGAAATATTCATTAGAATGAGGTTTGCGCACTTGCGACTTAAAATAATTCGCAGAATTTTTATCATTTTGAGTAGTAAAGCTTTTTCTCGAATTTCGAGGTTTTTCGTGATGTAAAACATTTTTCTTTGTTTGTGTTTCACAATAAACTAATAACGGAATATCTTTAAAATTAGTTTTTAGAACATTATTCTTAAAGTCAACGACACAATCGTATGAGGTGAGAAAATCTAAAC